TTTGTCGTTGTTTGATCAAAGTTCCTTTTATTTTGTACAAACATGCGCTATACACCACTTAGACTGCTTGTATTACTCCCCGTTTATAAAGTAAGTTTTTAGATATATGGTGTTATACCTTGTATTTCTTGTTGACTTTCATCAGACCTATTACCAAAACATAATTTCAAGGTCTTCGTATTGGGTTAAGCGTTGCGCTGTCATGTTTTAAAATGACTTCAGCTGTTATTCATGCTTTTGGATCTTTACACATGCAGTCTCTTACTCGGTTATTCTTTCATTTCCAAATATCATGTAATGGTCTAGCTTTTAATTAATTCCCATCCTCTTCAGCATATTATCTGTAACCGCTTTCTTGACAGGTTGCTACTATTTCGTTTTGATTGACTCCGTAATAAATGGCCACATATCACTCAGTTGTCTCCAGTTTATGTACAAACGGATTATTTTTCTGGTTAGACTTTTCTTAATCGTTTGTACAATTGAAAATAACGATTATAGATTTAAAAAAGGTATTACAGTGTCCTTAAAAAAAATTTTCGACTTTTGAAACTCATTTTTTTGGTTTTGTCTTATTTATCCTTTTTTTTCAATTTCTTTCGGCTCGCAATGAGTTTTTGATATTTCTTTGTGAGACTTGCAGGAGTCATGGAGGACATCGTTTTCAAAGTATTCATGCTGTTGTGGTTATTCAAAAGTGTCTTCGTAATTTTTAATTGGAATTATTGTTCTTTTCAAGATATTTTATAAAGTGTTTTCTTTGTTACTGTGTCTGTTTATGTTCTGCTTATCTCGTGTGTAATATACATTGTTCTTTTACAATGCCAAAAGTATTACAATTAGCATATTCTAGTTGCTGTGATAAATAATTCCACGTCTTGCAAACTGTTAGTGTACATTATAACTTCTTTCGTAACTTTTTATTATTTTCAGATACTTTTCTACGTTTAGATTAATGTTGCACTAGTAAGTATGACAACTATTTGAAGTACGCAACCATTTATTGCTTCTGTTCAATCAAATGTTGTTATGTCTTTTTAGTTATCTTCTAACAGTTTAGAAACTACTTTATTGACAATGATTCCAATGTGTCATATGTATTTTTAAAATGAGCTATTCTATGGTATACTTAATATAAATACGGCTTATATAAACCTATGGTACAAATGAAACGTCACCTTCGCTTTTTTTGCCCCAAACTATGGTTATCTGGTCGAACATTGTTTTCTGTTCATAATATTAGGTATTTGGCTTCGATATATGTCTCTAGAAGATTGATAGGAAGGTCTGTTACTATAGAATTCCAAAGTTTTTTCCACTTGACACCAGTATCTCTGAGGTCATGTCACTGATTTGTGTTCAACTGACCTGTTTTATGATACGGACTTTTTTTAACCATTCAAATACAAAGCGCGGACTATTGTCAATCCATTGAGACTAATGGCATGTCTTAATAAAATTTTTTCGACTTCTGAAAAATATTTTTCGAGGATTACCTCGTTTTCTTTTTTGGTTTAATGGTATTCGGCTAGATACCCCATTATAGTATTTCCTTTTCATACTTTTATGACAAATGTAGAAACTACTGCTGTAACTGTTTCTAATGTTTCGGTCGTTCAAAAGTGAGATAAAAGATGTAATTTATTAACTGTGTCCATTTTATTATTTATTCTGTGAGGTATTTAGTTCAATATGGCTCCAATTCGGAATCTGCTCATTTTGTTTGCAGTGTAACTAGTCTCTATTGTTCCGTTACATTATTGCAAGAATCCTCCGCTTTCTGTTTTTGTGCATTGACTCATGTCATACTTATGGTAGGAGTGTTTTTTAATATTTCTCCCTCAAATTCCTCGATGTTTGAATAATCCTTTGTGTACTTTGCATAACCATGCGATAGCCATCACTTCATGTATTTACAGTATTCACCGGTTCATAAATAGGTTTTTAATCTATTGTTTGATTTTCTGTATTTATTATCAATCTATATCCGAACTATTTAATGAAGATTGACCACAGGGCATTTTACTATGGGTAAAAAATGAACTGAAATGACGCAAAAGGAGTCCGGTTAGTATTCATATTTTGACGGTTTTCACCTTCCTACACATGATCATTTTATAAGTAAATTTAAAGTAGATGTGGGGCGTATAAGTAATCTCGTCGTGGTGTAGACATTTTATTGTTTCGGATCACTTTGTAGGTTGCCACTATACACTATTGAGGGACTCTGTACCAAAAATTTACATTAAACGCATTTATGAATAATACTTTAATTCTCTACGGATTGTTTTCCTGGATAGACTTTTTTTAGATGTTGGTACACTTAAAGATAACGATTCGGAACTTAATAAAACTATCGACGAGTTCATAGAAAATTTTTTCGACTTTTGAAATTTATTTTTCTCTTTTTGTCTTATTTGTCCTTTTTTCCAAGTTCTTTCGGCTAGGAACGGAATCTTGATATTTTGCTTTCAAAGTTTAAGGAGATTTGTAGAAGATCTTACTTTAACTATGCATGTAGTTGCGGTTGTACAAAACTATCTTTCAAAGTTTTTATTCGCAATACTGCTCTTTTTAAGATATTTTATAAAGTATTTTATTCGCTATTGTGTCCATTCATATTCTGCTTACCTCTGGCGTAATGGAAAAAGTCGGCTGATGACGGAGTTAGGTTCAGATAGATCCTAGATACCAAATAATGGTAATACCAAAAAATACTTGCGGTAGCGGAGATAGAACTGATTTTTCCGCTTCGATCCATACTAGTTTCACGTTCCGATGACCAAAACTCAGTCAGTAAATCAGAAATTGCGGTTTTTTAATTCTACTGGCCGCAATAATGGTCCAATCAATTTCGCCTTTGCACCATTGAAATGCCACGCATTTTTTACGTCATTTACCTTATTTTGAATATTCGATTACCATTTTTGGGGCTGTTGAAAAATTGATTCAGGGTCCCGCTGGCCTCAAGATTTTATTGTTGGTTTGTATAACCTATTACATTTCAAGTTGGATAGAATTGATTTGTGGTTGTTGTGGTTATTATATGTGTCTCTCAACATGAAGTCGCCGGTTCGATACCTCGTTTTGTCATTTTTTTTAATTTTGATATTTTCATCAGACGTTCGTCGAAGTCATCTTGATTTTTAGTTGTGTTTATGGGCCTAGTAAATCTCTTTTATTAAATGGAACATGTGAAACTAAACCGCCTTGTTGAAGCTATATATAGATTAATTTATTACCGGTTAATACTACGTTTTCATTCTTTACAATGTTACACTACCTTTTCTTTTTCTGTTAGTCCTTCTTTACCTCTGATGTCTTTATTTTTGTTTTCTTCTTTGATTCTATTTTTCTAAAAGGATGATAAAATTATGTAATAGAATCTTTAGTTTCTTCTTTACTATAATCTGATTTAGTCCTATACATATAGGCCTGGTTTCATTATAAGTATATATAAATAGTATAATTGTACGAAAGCCCCTCGTATAAATCCGCAATAAATAGTCTTACCAGTTTTTATTTACTCCTTCAAAGACACTTATATCTTGTTCGTTGTAGGATTTCCCTTTTATATCTTTAAATAATATCTAACTAAGTTGACAACTTAGTATGGAGCTTACTTTTTAAAAGGTTTTTGCTTATTAGTTGTCTTTATTTCACATTACCGCTTTCCACTTACACAAGCCAGCAACAATATGCAAGCTCTCATTTATAAAATTTGAAGCAGCAATATGAATTAATTTTTGTGTAAAATGTTGCAATAATCTATTAACTGAAAATCATTTACAACTGTTTCTGATTATTCTACAATGAACGATGTACACATGTAGTATTGAATTAAATGTTCGATACTGTAAAGTCTTAAGTGAGTAAGTTAAAGTATATTTTATTGAGTTTAAAAGTTATATAATAAAAAAATGTATGAAGTAAAAAAAGCGAATGCTAAAAAAAAGTCTTCTTAGAATTTTTGTTTTTGTCTAATTTCTACTTGTACGGGTACGGTTTGATTGTCTTCTTGGAATTTCCAAGTTATTTGGTGTGATACCTGTTTGACTAGTTGAACGGCTTGCATTGGATGGTCTTCCACGATTTCTTCTTACCGTTCTTGGTCTTCCCCTTCCCCGAACTGGTGGATTCTCTGAAGAAGAAACATCCGAATTGATGTTGTTCGTCCGTGCTCTTCTTGGGGTGGTCGAGCTGGGCACCGTATTGGATCGTCCTCTTGCTGAATTCTCGGCAAAGTACAAAGCTTCGACATCAGCATCTGGTTCATCGGCAGAATCTTCCTCTCTCTCTTCAGCTGGTTGTTCAGCGGTACGTCTACGAGCAACCCATGCATCGAACATTTGAGCCTCATTCGTTCTTCTTCTCTCGGTTTGGGCGTCGGATTCACCATTAGCAGCGGCAGTGAAAAAATCGGGCTCGATATCACCAGCGGGGTCTTCTTCTGTTACCTCGAAAGCTGTCGAAGAAGCAAACTGAACCTCCTTCATAATTCGCCACATTGCATCCATAAGATCATCCTTATTCTCATGGCGCCATAGGTATTCTAAAAGCTTACCAGCGCAATCTCTGGAATTTCGGTTTCTAGGCTTGATGAACACCTTTAAATCACGCCAGAGGGATTCAATAATATTGGTATGAATCATTCCAGAAAGAGGTGTACCAGAAACATGAGGGTTTGATTCCACCTGATCGACCGTCGCGAAACCTTCGCTGTGATTTACAACTTGATGAGCATAAAAATGCAGACCATTGGCTTGAAAGTCGGCTCCAGCAGCAGTATCTTGATTGTGTAGGCCCTCGTATCCTCTCCATCCATCGGAACGAACAATTGAACCGGCCTTACAGTAGCGAAACAAGAGAGGCAATAAGGTAGCACCTGACCGGTTAGGTACAACAAAAAAAAGTCTTCTTCCAGCAACGAAATGAGCCCGCAACTCATCAATACCAAGTCGATTATCGGTGTAACGGTAGTCTAGGGGAGTGTCCTCGGGTACAAGAGCTTCTACCATTCCGAAAACCCAGACGCCTATTAGTTAAGTTAATAATCTGCTACTTTTAATGAACTACGGTAACTACAAACCTTCGACGCGTCGACCACGGTGATTCTTACGCTTTCCAAATTTGGATTCATCAATTTGAATATGGTGACATCTAGGATCGGCACCAAGCAATTGCTCATCTCCCATTGCATATCTACGATAATCACTTAGCATCATCATTTGAATGTCCTTCAATACTTGTCTAGCTGCGTCTGGACTGATTCTGATAGACTTGTTGATCTTTCCAATTGAGTTTCCTCTAATATACTCGATAACAGTGTTCAAAATTCGATTAGCCTTGGCCTTACGGTTATACCAGAAAGAATTTAAAGTGACACTTCTCTTGATTACGTCGAAATGACCTCCATTGGGAACTTGGATATCGCCTTGAAAATTACCATCACATTGATAATAAAGTTGATCACGATCCTCCCGATGATACACCGTCATGAGTTCAGTACAACCGTTAAACTCGCATCTCTTTGGCTCCTGGTAATCAAACAACTTGATGTCACAAATCATATAGCTACGTTTAAATAAAATTATGGTTATATTCCTGAAGCTCTCAATATGTTCCTTATTAATACTTACTTCCATGCGGCAATGGCTGAAACTGTATACTGTGCTTCAAGGTTTCTGTCACCCTCGGTAGGAACACGAGTACCCCATCCAGCATTACCGTTCGCCATTCTATACGGTTCGATGATTTCATCCCTGTTTAAGACGAAAGTACGGGCTTCGGAAGGAAAGTCAAAATACTGTGTATCCTCTGTTGTTGGGTAATAAGAGTTGCTATTGTTGCGCGTAGATCTTGGAATGTTACGTGTTAAGCTAGGCATATTAAGCAGAAACTATACATCGGTTAAGGCAATATATAAGGTTAGACAATATAGAAATGAACATAGTATAAAGGAGAAAAATATTAGAAAATAAACTTACCGGAAAGAAAGGTAAAGATTTTTTTTTAAAGCAAATTAGAATATTTATAGACAATTTTTCCCTTGTCACAAAAAAAAAATTTATTACGTTGTCACATAAATTTTTTTAAGTTGTCACATAAATTTTTTTTTAAATTGTCACATAAATTTTTTTATGTTGTCACATAATTTTTTGTCGATGTCACTTACTTACTTCTAACTTTGTCACATAAATTCAATTAAGAAAGTCACTGTTCCAATGCGGATTTTCATAAACTATACCTTTGACTTCGATCTTAAGTTTACACTATATTAATTATGTTGTCCTTTAAACTAACTATTCGTATTGTGATACAAAATCCCTAAACATTTTTCTGCTATATTTAAATTACATTTATTCCAATATTCATCTTTTGTCCGTTTGTTCAATGTTACTTTATGTAAAACTTACGCGGTTCTCTTATGAATACTGACTAACAAATTATTGTTTTCGTTCTTACTCTCTCTAAGTCAATAACACAAACAATATAAGCACTATGAGTGTCATAACTAGTAAAAATCTACCACCGACGTCTATATACACTACATTTTTTCCAAAAGAAAACAATCCGCGAGGGGTTGAACCAAAGTCGTCTCCTTTCTCGACCAAAGTTATACCAATGCACTATCAAGTTAAACTTTGCTATGGCTGAAATATAAGGTTTGAACAACCAAAAAATATATTGTTTTTTCTTATTCCTACTTATCTGTCCGTCATAAGTAAACGTTTTAATATTTTTCGAATACAAAATTGCATTTTTAAAACGTTTCTAGCAACTGATTCGCATCAAATACGTTGTAAACTAAAATAAACTACCTGAAGATGATTAATCTTAAAAAATCCTGCTAGACATGTTCATCGGGGTTCAAAATTTGTAGAAAGATGCGCTAGCGTGGTACAAACATTGTCTCCAAAGTTGAGCTTGATCGGACTTTTATTTGATTTTAAAAGTAGTTTTATATAGTTTAGTGGCTGAGTTTTAGGCATCTGGGTTTAAAAAATATATAGGCGGACGCACAAAATTTGTCTCTAACTCCGCCACCGCAAGTATTTTTTGGTATTACTAATATTTGGTATTTAGGAACTATCTGAACCTATATCCTAGGAAAACCAAAAAGTCTTCATATAATGCTAAAGTAACTCTGGCTAATTGTCACTGTTCCTTTTGGTCAAAAATTACAATTCTTGTCAATTATTGGTCGTTACAAATATATTTTTCACTCATCACAGCCCCTAGTCCATCAATCTACTCTATACATCTCGTCACGCATTTAAACAAGTGCAAAACAGTTCAAAGCACGTTTATATGGCCTAGAAACACGTGTATAACGGGTCCGTTTAGGTTGGGAACGTATTTTAGACGTGAAAATATAATAGCATGGTATGTCACGTGAAAGTCACGTGTATTAATAGTAATAGGCGTGTCTTGTACTACACTGCTGAAACGAGACTCCGCCAGAATCATAGCCTGGGGGGAGAGCGTCGGTCTTTCAAAGCGGGGTTTAAGAGTTCGACCCCGGCCGGTATCATTTTTTGCACTTTTCACACAACTGCTATTAAGCGTGATCTTTACTTCCAACGTATTCCTGAGGCCGAGGCGATTCTCCCACATTTTTTTGTTAAAGATTTTGTTAGAAAAACATTTAGGAATATTTAATTACCCATCTTTATTCAAAATCAGTCAGTGACCTTCAACTTTTTTATGGAACTTGATTCGGTAGGGTTGTTCAACACAAGGGGATTATTTTTTTATTTGATAATTCGTTGTTAACAATGCGTATACGCGTAAAACTAAAGTTTTGCAAGCGAAAGGGATCAAAATTGGCTCTGATAAACGATGCTTGCCATCAAGATTAGATATAAAAGACAACGGTACTCCTACTTGTATAGTATCCCGTCTATAATTTCCAAAGATCATCCAAACTAGGTTGGGGTAACAACAAATGCTTATTAAAGGCTAGAAGATAATAGCAACATGTCTCTATATCAAGTCATTTTCATTCACCTGCCGAATTTTTATCTTGAACAGTATAATGGTGATGTCCTGGAATACATTTATTATTTGGACTAGCCAACAAAATATTTCGTTGAAAAAAAGGTTCTTCTCTTACTCTTAGAATTATTTTATGGATTGACTCATGTCATACCTATTGTAAGGGTTTTTTTAAGATTTCACCCTCACATTCCTCGATGTTTAATTAATCTGTCGTGTACTTTGTATAAACATGCGCTAGATATTACTAAATCTATTTACAGTATTCACCAGTTATTTAGTAGAGCTTTAATGGGATTGTTCGATGTTCTGTATTTCGTATCAGTCTTATCCTAATTATTTTATAAATAATGACCACACGCCCTTCCAATTTGGTTTAAAGGTTAGCTGAAATGGTCCGAATAGAGTCCGGTTGTTTCTGCATCTTTTGAGGGTTTTAACCTTCACACTCGTGATCATTCTATAAGTAAATTCAAAGTAGATGTTTGGCGTAAAAGTAATCTCCTTGTTGTAAAGACCATTTGTTATTACCCCTCACTCTGTAGGTTACTACTAAGTAGTATTGAGTGACTCTGTAACAAAATTTTACATTTTACTCATTTATGAACAATACGTTACGGATATACGGATTATTTTTCTAGTTAGACTTTTTTTAATAGTTTGTACAGTTACAGATAACAATTCTAGACCTATTAGCACCATCCAAATGTCTTTAGTAATTTTTTTCGACTTCTGAAAAATGTTTTTCTTTCTTTGTCATATGTTTCCTTTTTTCCCAAATTCTTTCGGCTTGCAACGAATTCTTAGTATTGCTCTTTTATACTTTTGAGAGTCATACAGGAGATACTATGTAAACTATATATGCAGTGATGGCTATTACAAACAGCTGTCAAACTTATTAACTGGCAATATTCTAAATTCTTTAAGTATTTTAGACTGTTTCTTCTTCAATAATGAGTGAATTCAGGATTTGTTTATCTGGTGTGTATTTTACAATTTCTTTATACTATGCTTAAACTATTTAAATAATTGCAGACTTTCCGCTGTGATAAAAAATTACAAGGCCTTCCAATTGTTGTTCCTTTTAATACCATCATCGCTACTTGTTCGTTATTTTGTTAAGTGTTTACAATATTTTGCTCACATTTGCACTAGTAATCAAGGCGACTGTTGCAGGTATTCCCCAATTTACAGCAATTATTCAATAAAGTATTGTAACTTACTTTGAAGTTGTGGTCGAACAATTGAAGAATTGTTTTCTCATCAATGACTGTTGGGAGTTCATGTCATGTTTTAAACTGAGCTGATCTATGCTAAAACTGTTACAAACACTAGTACTTTAGATTTATGGCCTAAATAATACTTACTCCACAACTTGAAAGTTTCTTTGCCCAAGACTTGGGATATATCGTGAATTATTGTTCCTCGTTCATAACATTTCGTAGATTGTTACAAAATATGTTTCTATAATTGCTATATGAAGGCCAATTATTGTGGCAATTCAACCTTTTATGAATTTGGCCCAGGTATCATTATGTTAGGTATCTGACGTTTGTTTATCTGACCTGGTTTATGATATAGACTTTTTTTAACAATTTGTATACGGACCGCAGACTATTGGCATACTATTTATATTATTCCCAGGGCTATAAAGTTTTTTTTCGACTTTTGAAAAATATTTTTTGCCTTTGTTTTAAATATACTTTTTTCAAAATATCTTTTAGTGTGGGACGAATGCTTAACTTTTTGATGTCGTATTCGCAGCATCAATGTAAAGGGTGTTATTAAAACCATATGCATTGCGTCAGTCTTTTAAAAGTGTGAGAGAAAATACTACTTGGCTATATTGTCGGTTTTTTATGTCTTTAACAATTGAATATGTTTGAAACTGTCCACATTGTGGTTTAGTTTACACCATAAGTAGCGGAGGTAGTTTCTTTATCATTCTTAACCTATTCGAATTGTTTAGCAGTACTGTTTTTCGCAAACATTTACGTTATTTAATTATCTCTGTTATTTTTAATGTCTTCATCCTTGCTTTGATAATATTGGAAAACCTCTTCCCACGATCCCTGAAAGAATGGCTGAAAAGTTCAAAAGAAATTCCAGGTATCTCTCAATTGAAATTTATGGCAGGCATTGTATCACTTGGTACTTGGTAATTTATTCTATTAAATTGGTAAGTATTTCGTCAAAGCTAATTCTATGTCTATTTAATTGATACAATGATACTCTTTGGCATGTTAAAACCAATAGAGATACTTTTGTTGCCTGACAGTCTGGATACGTAAAAGTCGCGTTATTTTAAAGTCGTTCAAAAAAGATTGTTGTTCGATATTACAATGTTACCAGTCATTTCTGCAAGTATTGAGTATATTTCTTTTGGTCGGGTCTCAGTTCTGATATGGAAGACTTCAAATGAACTAGAGACACGTGAAACGTTCTACATGATTTATCTGTAATAGTCCCGTCTTTATAAATGGTCTCACACGATTTTTATTCCTCGATATTTACTCTTCCACCGGTCATTTTCTCAAGTTTTTCGTTTATTTATTTCGGCTGGACTTTAATTCTTGAGTTCCCAACTTCAAATTAACAGGAAACACGTCAGACGTTTGACAAAACGTATCTGTAAAGTTTTCATGGTTTTAAGGTGCGTCCAAAATGTATATTTCACGTTATTGTTGATCTTAGCAGCAACTTCACGTAATATTGAGTATATTTATTTAGGCTACACCTCCTTTCTTGAGATTCTGGCTTCTAATTTACTGCAGACTCGTAGAGTCCGGTCCCCAATGGATCTAAAATTGTCCCATGGTTTTAAATATCCCCAAATAAATGTTATCTCAGGATACTGTCGTGTTATTAGTCGGTTTACCAAGCACATACTTTATTTCTTTCGGCTTGAGTCCAATTCTTGAGGTTTTGTTTCAGAATAAACTAAAGACAGACCTACGCTTTTACAACACTCATAAAAATATAAGCACGTCGTTTCAAAGTTTAAACTTTATTTCTTTCGATTGGTACGTTGCTCTCGCATATTTGACTTACAAACGAGTACGGACACGTTGGAGGTTCTTGCTCATTAATCTGTAAAGTTTTCCATATATGCCGAGGTAATCATATTTCGAATAGGTGCACGTACGTGTATTTTTTGATATGGGGTATCGTATTTGCTTAATATTTTATCGAACACCATTCTTTATGGCATGTATTTGGTACTAAAAGCGCTTTATAGCGTACGAACAACAACTAATTAAACTAACGCCGGAGAATTATTATAGTGAAAAGAAAAATAGTGACCTCACTTAGGCTATTATTCTGAAATTAACGCTTGAAAATACCCTTCCGCCTACAGTAACTTACTTAGAGTCTTACTTTATGCTCACTAAAATCTACAACATTTACGTCTGTCATTTTTCAGCCAATCACAGGGCAGGAAATACCAAAAAACTTTAATTATTTAAAAAACATGGTTTTTTTTCAAAATCCCAAAAATAGTAAAAGCGGAGTTTAAAATATTTCGTAAAAATTGTCCATTTTCAATGCAGCTTTATCCAATCAAATCATGTCCGACGCAGTTGAACGTAGTATTGTTCGAAAGCAGTGTTTTAGACGCAGAGCGTAACAGAGCCGGTTTTTTTGTTTTTATTCTAAAATTGATTTTAATAGTGAAATAAAAATTGACTCCCTGCTTAAAATCATGAATTTTGACTTTAAACCTGTGTAACTTGCCTTCTGCCAATCAAAGGTGGGGCATGTTATACATTTTTGAAATCGCACGATTTTTCGCTATTTTTAGAGATTCTTTTCTATGTTTCGTCAGGGGTACCAATATCGGTCGTAATGATTAATCATAGTCATGGTGATTATTCTTAGTCATGGCGATCAATCTTAGTCATGGTGATTAATCATAGTCATAGTGTTCATTCTTAGTCATTGTGCTTAATCATAATCATGGTGATAACTGATCTTCATAGTGTTTTATTTATCGTAATGATCTAATTATCGTAGTTATTCTTTTTTTGTTGTTGGCATATTCATCGTGTTGTCATAGGTATTTAGTTGTCATAGGTATTTAGTTGTCATAGTCTTCTAGTTGACATGGTTATGTATTCATCATAGTTAACTAGTTGACATAGTTATGTGGTTGTTATAGTTATCTCGTAGGCATAGTTATCTGGTACTCATAGTCATCTGTATTGTCATGGTGATATGATTACTCATAGTTATCTATTTGTGATATGTATCGAGTTGTTATAGTTATCTATTTGTTATAGTTATTTCGTAGGAATAGTTATCTGGTAGTCATAGATCTTTCGTAGTTATAGTTTTCTGGTAGTCATAGTTTTTTTTTGTTGTTGTCATAGATATGGAGTTGTCATAGATCTCCTGTTGTCCTAGCTTACTTGTTGCCATAGGTATCTTGTTGTCATAGATATGCTGTTTTCTTAGTTATATTGTTGTTATAGATGTCTTGTTTTCCTACTGCCTTGGTTGCTTTGTTACGTGTTGTCATAGAAACCTTGGAATCCTTGTAATTTTGTTGTCTTAGATATCTGGTTGTCTTACTGGCATTCCTTTCGTCAATACTTGTTATCTTTAATATCCTGTTGTATTAACTATCTTGTTGCTCTACAGACTTGGTCGTCTTGCATACTTGGTTGTCTTATCGATACGGTTGTCTTACTTACCTGGTTGTCTTACTTACCTGGTTGTCTTACTTACCTGGTTGTCTTCGTCACCTTGTTGTCGTAGATATGTCGGTGTCTTGGTCATATAGTTGTCTTCGTTACTTGCTCACTTGGATACCCTGTTGTTTTAGTTATCTTGTATCTTAGATATATTATCCGCTTAGATACGTCGTTGCCTTGGACATCTGGCTGTCTAATTTATCTGGTTGTCTTATGTTTCTCGTTGTCGTGGATATCATGTTGTCTGAGCGATTTCGTTGCCTTAGACACATTATTGCCTTGGATATTTCGTTACCTTAGTAACATTGACGTCTTGGATATACTGTTATCCCGTATGTCTTGCTGTCATAGATATCATATTATCGTCGTCATATTGTTGTCCAAGATATCTGGTGGCCTTAGATATCTTGTTGTCTTAGTTACTTGGTAAATTGAATTGTCCGTCGTCTTGGTAATTACCTTTTTCCTGAATACTAGGTTCTATTGTCACCTTAATCGACCTGCATACGTTATTGTATTTGCTTCTTGACGCTTTTAGATTTTATGTCGCTCTCAATATTCTGCTGGTATTTTATTTTTTGGTCCTTGTCCATTGTCATTCCAAGTAACTTATATCTCTTTTTCTCCATAATCCATAAGTATGTATGATATGTAGCATGACATTTCTCCTTAAATGTGACCCGTACAATCTTTTAGGCTTGATAAAATTTTATGACTTCACCATTTTTGTATGAATTATTTGATAACAAGACCTATCTGGCCTTTTGTTTACATATTGCAGACAATTCTGAATATATTTGCACTGCTCCCATGACGCTATAAATTCATTCAGACTTTTAATATTTTTTTTGTATATATTTACGTAAAACATTTATTTTGTTTGCCTTTCTTTCTGCTAGTGCGCCATGTTTAGACGGTTGGTTCTTAACAGTTATGAAGATTAATAGCATGTCATGGGAGAGCGATTTATCAAGGTCCAATCATATAAACGTCACTAAGAAACTATTATTTTATGATATTATATTTTTTTTCTTGATTTCAATAAAGTGTTTAGTCCCACAATGCGTCAATTAGTGTTTTCCTTTCATTGCGTGTAGTTGACATAAGGTGCTCTCAAGATCGGAAACCGAAAATAAATAGCCCATTTTTTATACAAAAATAGTGAAAAAAGTCTCTGAAATGTAGAGCTAAATTTGGGCAAAATAATACATATACATATAAGGAATCAAATAAAAACATGATCAAAGTGATCTTGTTTTCAAAATAGTTTACTTGAAAAGGAAATGATAAAATAACGAACTTCTTTAAATCCAGTGTTTTTTTATTTTTATTTTTCTTTCCCTTTAATTTGTCAAATACATTTTATCACTTACCTTACTATGAACAATACCGAAGCTAATAACAATGCCCCCAACAATGTACGTGGTCGTGGACGCGGTCGTGGAAATGGACGTGGAGGCAGACGTGGACGTGGCAGACGCGCTGGCACTTTTGTGTTTGTTGTCGATCCTACCGTTCAGCAAAACACCATTCCTGTTGACAACGGCAACACCGAAGCTGACAGTAACGCCAACGTTGATGATGACGATGAGCCTGAACAATTATCTTCACGGTCCTACAATGTATGGCCTGATGTAGCTATTTGTATCCTCCTCGAAATTATGGCTGGTACCTACAGCTACTTGCTGAGAAGAAGCGATACTGCCTTAAAGCAGCTTATCTGGGTACATTCGGCTGCTTTGCTGAAGGAAAAGTTAGCTGAGAATGCTACCACTGATGTCATCACGGCTTTTTTGACAAACCTTAGTGAGACAAGCATGCAAAGAAAGTGGGCAAACATGAAGCAGCGTTTTACCAGAGTAAGAAATGCAGCAAGAGAAACCGGAGTTGGTGGAACTGTTCCAAACATGCCGTACTACGAGGAAATTGCTAAGATTACTCAGGATGATCCCAGCATCCAACCTGAAGTGATTTACGAAAGCATCAACATGCAAGAGAGTGGTATTCGATCTTACAGACGATTTAACGACGCCAATTTGATGAATGCTATTGGATCCGATGGCCCTGAAACAACATACTTGGGACCTACAGAAGTTGATCAACTTGTCATTCAGAAAGCATTTGCTGATCGATATCCTGCTAGAGATTCTACCAACAACGAAGGACCTGCAGTGCCATCATTTTTTGAATCAGCATCCGCACCTCCCCCACCAACAACAGCACCAGCACCAGCACCAACACCAGCAACAGCACCAACACCAACACCAGCAACAGCACCAACACCAACACCAACACCAACACCAACACCAACACCAACAGCCGTGCCAACCTCAACACCAACAACCGAACCACCAACACCAACACCAACACCTACATCAGCATCCGCAGCACCACCAACATCGACAGGCGCAACACCTCCACCACCACCTTCATCCACACCTCCACCTCCATATACATCCGCACCACCT